CAGATGAAAATGGAGAAAGTCTATAATAGCGTGATGTGTCTATGTTCAGGTGTAAGAACAAGAGGCAGAAACTTAAATCTCCCTCGACACCCGAAGCGGTTTTTAAAAAAAAAAAGTAAAGAAGAAGTATTCAAAAAACAAAATGGAAGTAAAAAACAAAAAGAAAAAAAAGCCATGTAAACGATAATTTATAACAATACCCGCATGCATACATGTCAGACTGGAAGTGATGCCCACACAGAGACAGGGTCTTCAACGACGGTACTCATATGTGGAATTTCATCCCTAAAACGCACCTCCGTGACTACATGACAGGGCTGTTAAATGAGGGGCCATAAAGTTTAAGTGGAGAGGGTCACCATAAAATGCATCGGGGGTGCCTTGCTAAGCTTTTGCGGGCCGCTTTCGGTCAGTAGGCCGCCAGTTAAATATAACGGAACTAAAACATGTCTAAAACATTAATGCAAAAGTAGTTTCAAGCAACATACTTGAGTTGTGGTGTGAAGTGTTAGATGTTCCTATATTTCAGGCCTTGACATGAGATGGGGTGATTTGTTCCCATTCTTATCACCTTTGCATCCCAGAAAATTCACTGAATATTCTAGAAATTAAGTCGGCTCTGTGGCTAAGTCGTAGCGAACGCTTCGTAATGCCGGGGAGCTGGGTTCGATCCCAGCTGCGGGCCATGCGCCTTGCTTTGGTTTCGACAGTGGTATCGGGGAGCCCACCGCCCAGAAAGCAATGGCAAACTACTGGACGTAAATTTGCATAGAGAAACCACACAACGGCCAGGGGCTGCTGGGGTTGGTTCTGCAACGTCCTGTAAAGGATACGCAACTAACCTTTTTTTCAGGTCGACCCAGCCTTGAGTGGGTACCGGGTGCAAGGCGGCCGGCTTGATGCTGACTACATCCCCCATCTTGTGTCGATTGGTCTATAAAAATATAGGTCTAGCCCTCTATGCCCTATACGCCTAAAGGTGTGGAAAAGAGGTCCTTTACTTTTTTTTTCTAGAAGTGATATGAAACATTATGGATATGGACGAAATACTTACCAGGTTTGTTTATTGTAAATCTCAAAGTCCACAATCACAACATACGAACACGTTACAGCTACTGGTTAAAGCCCACATACCACAAGTCTCTAGCCTAATCGATACAGCTGTGATATGAATCACAAGCGACGCCCGCTAAGGCCACATAAGTAAATCACGTATGCAGTATAGTCACATTTGACCAGCTCTTATATGAGTTTCCTGCCGGGCATTTTCCTAGAATTTGTCTCGAAGCCGAAACAAACAAACACGTATCCCAAACATGGCACACAATTCCGCTAGAATGTCTGACTTACCTGTGCACAGCCACCCACTCGAGTCAGCTGATAGCAAGCCAGACAAAGTTGGTGACTGTCTTATTCGGGGATTTCACCCACCGCTGTAACAACCATTAGGTAAGTCCCTTTAAATATCTTACTTATCCTTGGCAACCAGGATGTGTTATGTGGCTACCCAGGCCCGTTTGTGTTTTCGCGCGCCTCGACAATGAAATAAACCATCTATCTAGTTGCCCCATTGGCTTCAGGGAAAATTGAGACCCGCTTTGTGTGAAAGGGTGCGGGATGTTTGGAGTGGTTTAGCTGGGGAAAAGAGATAGTTAACCACTTTAAACCGAAGCTACAGATTCACAAGCACAAACTTCTATGGGGTACCGCAGAATGTTTTATTTATTAATTTTTTTAATTAGCAGGTTTGTCCAGAAATCTAGCTCATGCAGTCGATGCAGTGATACATTCGCAAATCATTGATACATCTGGAAAATTAAATCACTAACTTAGCAGATTCCCAGGTCGTATCAACCAAACCTGGGTACATGGGAATTCCCACTGAAGCGCCAGAAGAATATTCTTTACTAAACTGATTTGAAGTGATCAAACACTTAGTCTTACTGATAGAGGAAACATCTTTTCGAATTTTTCTTATGTTTTCAATTCTGTCAGTCCCAAACGACGTATGGTGTGTGATTAGTTCTTCTGTGAATCCCGCCTATCATGTAAAATGTTTTCGAATTTTTTCCACTTCAGCTGAGCACACTAAGAAAATCTGGATTTCACCGTATTTGACTTCTTTAAACGTAATATACTCGTGGTTTATTCTACTGGTTATGTATTTAAAATTTTAAAAAAGCTTTCTCTGCAAATCTGTTTGCAGACTAAACCAGACTTATAGAAGAAGAGGCGAGAGACATAAAGTAGTGGACACATTTGATAACATGCACATTGACAAGTATAGTGACCACACATGGATTCGACCTGCTGACTCCTGGATCAACACTTGTGCAAGTTTAATGGCTTCAAGGGTATCCCACAGCTGTCAAGGAACCACCAGAGAACTATAACAAGTATCTTATCCAGAAAACACTTTCCAGGCAAACTTTGGAAGGTATACCGGGAGAATTCAGCAAGAAAATAAAATATAGTGTCAATAAGACAAACAACAACAATATATTCAGTACTTACAGTAGACGAATTACCTGCCAGTTTATGAATAAAAACTCTGTTGGTTAAAAATAGGGCACGTAACAGTTTTAGCGTTAATGCAGGACAATACAGAGAACATAAGAATGGTACGTTTGAGATTTGTCTGACTGTAGGTATCAATGCTTTGCTTACAACGACAGTATCATCACTTTCGACCGATGTTGATCGATCGATCAGTTTGCCCCCATCTCGGCTGCTATATAAACGTTTACCAGGCTCTCCTCCGAACTTCGTCCCCATATTATGGAGTCAAAACAAACACCCTAACTGGGCCTCAGTCGTGTGTAAAATGCGGAGTGCCTGCCAAGGTACAAATCGCAGCAAAACTAGGATTGCCTCCGAATAACGGGCCAATATTATAGAGAGCAAACAAATACTCTAATAGGGTCTCCGCGATATGTTAATTGCGGACCTGTTTCTGCGACTATGCCACACCACGCCGACGTATTCCCCGCGCCGCTACGCGCGGCTAGGATTGCGGAGGGGGAGGGCTAAACTGGCAAATAAATTAGAGGAAGTTGCGGGAGATGAGGTAGCTGCTGCTCGTGAGTCCCAGCCATCTAGTTAAGTCCCCCCCCACCCCACCCCACCCCCATCCGCGCCTCGCGTAGCGGCGCGGGGAATACTCTCGGCGGTGAGTTTAATCGGAAGAACACTCACGCTAACCTGCGTCGGAGCGTGTGGTCTCCCCGCATGTCGCTATTATTGTGTGTATTGTTGCGTTTCTCGAAATTGTCAACGGACAGTAATCCTAGTTTTGCCGCAATGTGTTCGTCAGAGGAAGTTCGCATTTTACACACGACAGAGGCCCTGTTAGGGTATTTGTTTGGTCGCCATAATATGGGGACGAAGTTCGGAGGATAGCCCATTTGGGATTTAAAAATCCCAGTCTGAATAAGAGATAAACAAGGCAGGTCCCACACACCCCGTTTAACCTCCGAAGAAGTAATAATTTGAGCACCCATGAAAACGACATCAACCAGTTTATAATCGGTAGTTCAGTGTGGGTAGACAGTGCCTAGTTCTCTCTGAGTGTAGCCATTGGTGTGAGTGAGAAACTAGCCCTACACAGCGTCAAAATAAGTTGCTTAGCTAACATACAGCACATTACAGTTATTCTTATCTTCAACGCGGGTTTTCCTAATATGCGTTACTCGAACATCGGTAAATCCCGTTCCTTTACTGACAAAAAGTCGTAATAGGTTTTCCATTCCTTTGTGGACCAATTTTTATCCAGAATACAAGTTTAACACACTACACATAGCATAGGTTAGCACACCTGACAGAATGCGAGCTATTGGTTTTCTAATCGTTCGTGGACCAATTTGTGTCCAGGATTCAAGTTCAACACACTACACACAGACACGTTA